GGTTTTTCTGTGTTTAAAAAAGACGATAAAATAATGAAACCTGGTTTCCAATTAAAACCCACTTGTTTATTGATCGACCATTCACCTTCTTGGTCCTGTCTTATCTCATATGCCTCCGCCATCCCAGCCCTGCTCTACATCATTTCTAACCGGATAAAACGGAGTTAAATTTAACTATACTGCGACGAAACTAACTTTAGCTACGATATAAAAAAAAATGTACGTATATTCTTCGTTTATTCTGTGAAGCCGTGTTGGTTGGTAGTAGATGTCGTGTTCTATGTGAGTGAGAAGATAATAAAAATAAAGCTTGAGAATTTTTTTTAAATGTTTCATTTTGTCATTTATCTCTATATTCTGTGTTTATGGCTGAAAGTTATAATGAAAATTGTTTTGAGTAGAAGGTTTAATGTTATCATTATCTGTCGTCATATTAAAATTATTGTCAAAGTGAAGCAAATATTTTTTTAATGGATTTCTCATAATAAAACTGAATGTAAATTATGTAATTGTATTAAAAGTTGGGTGATTGATGTATTCTTGGAATGTCAGCGCGATATAACAATTTATATCAGTTAGACCATCCCGTGTTAAACGATTCATCACGTCAAATGTTGAATCCTGTTTAATTTTTCGGAAATCGTCCATTCTTTGTACCATATTAATGAGAAATAATAAGGTTTTTTTAAGAGAGATTTACAGTTTGGCAGATATCCATAGACGAGAAGTATGGTAAATATTTTTAGGTTCGATACAAATGTATTGACATATATAAGCTGGTTAAATAGTTCGGCAGTCAATCATAAACACGAAGATAGATTTGTACGTAGATAAAAAGGTAGGCAATTAGATAAGAGTGATATGTAGATAAATGAGTTAATATGCAAATATACAGAATCGTATTAAGATGATATAGTTGACTTGTTAGGTTTATAACGAAATAAACATATTGTACGATAGGTAGGTTGATGTATAAGCAATTTGATATATACAGGGTGTTCAGCTACTCGTGTTACAAACTTTGCCAGTAGATTCTACATTCAAAATGGAATCAAAAAGTCCTAATTAACTATGGTCCGAATCTCAACAGTTTTGGAATTATTCCGCTTTTTCTGATTTTTTAAGATTTCACGACCTTGCTTCAAATAAACAGTGGTGACTTCAAAACTAAAAGGTTTTGAACAAATCTGTTGATACTATTCAAAACTACGTTAAATTTCCAATAAGATGTGAAAAATACTGAACTTGTAAACGTTCGGGAAATAACCGTTTTAATAGCGAGAACTTAGAAAAAAATTTCAAAGTTGAAAAAACATACTATGGTGATTTTAATCTTCAAACGTAGAAACAGCAAATTTCAGAAAACGTACTACATTTAATATCCTTTTTAGTGTTGTCATTTCTTTTTTAATTACTTTTTCCAAAGATAAAGAAATTGACGGAGGACAGGAAAAAACCGTGGTTGAAGGATTGGTACGTTTTCTGAAATTTGCTGGTCTCTAGGTTTGGAAATAGTTTAGATCACTATAGTATGTTTGCCAACTTTGAAAAATAAATTTTTTTCAACGTTCTCGCTACGAAAACGCTTATTTCACGAACTTTACAAGTTTAGTATTGATCTCATCTTATTCGAAATTTGACGTAGTTTTCAATGGTATCAACAGATTTGTTCAAAACATTTTAGTTTTGGAGTCACCATTGTTTATTTGAAGCAAGGTCGCGAAATCTTAACAAATCAGAAAAACTGAACAAAAAACAAACAAACAGAAAAACCAAAAAACAACTGAAACTGCTCAGATTTGGACCGTAGTTAATTAGTATTTTTTGGTAACATTTTGAACGTAGAATCTACTGGCAAAGTTTCTAACACGAGTAGCCGAACACCCTGTATATATGGTTGCATAGACAAACTTAAAAAAAAGATTTGGAAGCACATTGGTTTAATGCTGGCAGACAGATAGTTACGTTTAAAAAAACAGGCAGATTAGCTAGATGTAAGGATAGGTCATAGATTTTTAGTACATGAATAGGTAGGCAAAGGTTAGGTAGATAAAGATGTGCACAGTTTATTGCTTGATAAACAAAGAGGTAATTATTATATTGGAAAATTTATAGTTTAATCGATACAGGTAGAGGTGGATTTATATAATAAGGTAACCATAAATGTAGATTGGTGGATACACAGATGGATATGCTGACACACACAGGTTTGTAATTAGATTTGTATGTTTGTACATAATTACGTTAGACAATGGCAAGTTGAGGTTTATTAGTGCAAAGTTATTTACAGAGATAGAATGACAATAGTGGCGTAAGTTGATAGTACGTGTATATATTTTTTAGATAGAAAACAAACCATAAAGATCGATGTAAATATTATATTTTAGCAATTCAAGTCTATATAATATCTCCTTCTTATCTGTCTCAATCCAATAACATTTTTTTTCGGATATGCGGCCCAGAGGACCGAAATAAATAGCGCTGGGCGGTAACGTTGATTTATCAATATCGATGTTGATTGAATATCGATCTTCTAAACGGAAAACGATAAGTAAAACATATTAATAATAAAAAAAAGTTTGAAATAATTAGGGCATTCAATACTTTTGGATATCCGGCCCGGAGGACCAAAATTAACAGCGTTGTTCCTTAAATACCGAGATATTGTTGTACACCGATAATATATCATATATTGATTAAACATTGGTTAAATATCTATGTAATTGCATACTCCTATTTATTTTGGTCCTCCTAGCCGGATATACAATAAATCGGATATTTTAATTTGTTGTTATAGATCTTGGTAGTTATGCGTTCAAAAATATGAAAAATCATTTGTAAAATTTCGGCAAAAATCGCTAATGAGCGAGCTTTAGAGGGAGGGAGCGTTTCTGGCTTTAGCAGAGATAGTTCCTTTATGGATTTTAAATATTTAATTAACGTGGCTTTGAAATATGAAGTTCTGGATTACTTTATAATCGTGCTAATGAGGGCATTTGAAGAAATGCTAATCTTGACGAATGATAGACTCTCCAAGATATCCGCATATCTCTCTCTCTCTCTCTCTCTCTCTTTCTCTTTCTCTCTCTCTCTCTCTCTCTCTCTCTCTCTCTCTCTCTCTCTTTCTCTTTCGTCTTTCTCCGATCCTCAACTTACGACTATACATTTAGATGTGAAGATATAGTCCTTTAAATGTGTATTTTTAAGGCTGATAGAAATTTCATATATAATATGGTCATACATTGATTGTAGATATATCTAGATTGATAGTAAATAGAAATGAAATACCTACAAAATATGTTAGGAGTTACAGAAAATAATTTTATATTTTTCTTGTATACATATTGATCATTTTAGTTTTTCATGACTATTTAATATATTGTCCCTTCTTGTACTTTCTTAATTCGATAAGAAAGAACTTTTTATTTCGCATCAGCCGGCCTGGTGGAGGCAGTAGCTTTGGAAGACGACGTTTGCGGTTCGAGCATCGTCCTTCTTAGACAATCCAAAATGCAAATTCATGACCCATTTCGTCTGATTTGAAACTCAAATCACCCTTTTGATCCCGCCAGGCACGACTTACTCCGAAAAGTTTTCGAAAGCCAGCCCCGCTCGGCAACCTATCGGTGCACAGTGGCTCAGGAATTCGGGGGATTATGATGTCCGCCGAGTCTCGCCCCTATCACGTATCTGGCCCGTAATCAACATGGATTTATGAATGCGTAGGCTCCAATTAAACCGGCCTTTTGATCTCAGGGGGACCATGAAACCACAAATGGGCCCGGAGGCGTCGGAATCAGTTTTCAACCCCTTGGTTCACAAACTCGAAGCTTCATCATTTCCTTTGTGCTACGCTAAATCCCTATATTAACCCAAACAGCTCTTTTATTTGTAAATCTTTTAAAAGTGTATTTTTAAATTTTTAATATTTGTATTTTTATTTATAGGTAAGAGTCCAGACACCTTCGCTCTGTAAGTTTTAACAATCATTTTAATAAGTTATAATTAGTATTTTTTTTATTGGCTGCGGGTTTTCACGTTTCACTGATACGCGTTACAATTTATATTGGCTGCTCTGTTCTTCACTGAAGATGGCGTGATACTGATAATTAAGTAATAATTACGCTTTTCTGGAAGCGATAAAACTGAAAAGTTCTATGTTTCCATATAATCTAGCGATAATTTTTGTAAAATTGGTTTTTCTACATCATTTCTGTTTTGGAACTGTGGTCTGTTAATTCCCGCCCTGGTCAAATGTACACGCTATCGATTATAGATATATTGCAAAGACACAATATTTATTTAAAAAAATCAAAATAAAGAACAATAAGTAAAACAGCAATCTTGTGAGTAAAAAATCGTTTGAACTAATCAGTCAAAATATGCAGTACTTTCTCACATCCGACTCGGAGGACCAAAATAAATAGCAGTGTACTATATCGTGGTTACATGTATCAATTTGGTGAGGCATCATCATTTTAAATTAAGAACAATAAATAAAATATGTTAATATATTGAGGGAAAAAAGTTTGAACCGATTACTCGTCGTATATACTTTTGCACATGCAGCCCGGAGGAACAAAAGATAAACCCGGTATACGCTAACATCGACATAACGTTGTTGATTAATTATCTATCAACATTATAAACGAAGTATGGTAAGTGAAACATACTCATCATGAGAAGAAAAAATCGTTGAAACTAATTAGTCAGCGTGGACGTCCGCTCCGGAGGACCAAAATAAATAGCATTGTGGTATAAGTCGATTTATGAATCTCAATGATGATTAAATACCTTTATCTACAGATATTGTGTATACTATCGATAAATATGTCATATTGATTAAATATAGATTTTATTACACACGCTGTTATTTATTTTGGTCCTCCGGGCTTGATATAAGTTATGTACATGATTAATTCCTTATTGTTACTCTATATTATGTCGCCAGTGTTCTGAAAAGATTAAAAACAAAATTTAAAAAAAAAAACATGTTTTGTAGTGATCCTTGTTACATGAGTATAATAATCATTTTCATTCTTTTCGGATACTTTATCATTTATTTCTATTTCGTGGATGACTGTTGCATCACAAAACATATATTTTGACTGTTATTTTAATGAAGTGCTGAAACTGACGGGAATTTTAGATTTGAAGATTTTTTCTTGTATATCGATATGGTGAATCATGATTTCTTTCATACTGAAATCCGAAACTCGCCGAATGACATCTTTGCTTTCGTTCAATTTCTTGGCTTTTCTCACGTTTCCATGGTGTAATACGCGGGTCTTTTTCCTTCCTCGTCCACTACGTTTCATACTAGCACAGCATGGAAATCGCGGTGTGTGTAATTGTGCCGATCCAAAGGCTGTTTAACATACAGAATGTTAACGATTTCCCAAAGAGGTGGGCGTTATCTGCATCCCTCGTCAACAAAAACCTACAGCCGAGGGGTTAGTTGTGGAAGTGAATAGCGGAATCCGTAGAACGGAATCCGCCTCGCAGATCAAAAGGTGCTGCAGGCGTCTCCGAGGTTTTCCCTTACTAAAAACATTCAAACGGATCCTTTCGAAAAATCCTACAGAGAACACAGACAACAGAAAAGTTAAATTTACACGATACCAATTCATAAAATAAGCAAATAAGGTCTTTATGAATTGGTAAGCTTTAATTAATCTGTGCATTTGTGTATTCTTAAAATTAAATGTAATGGGTACAAGTGAAATTAAGTAAAAGTCTCAGACTTTTTTCCTCATTATTTAAGTAGAACAGGAGAATTAAATATAAAAACGATGAAGTACGGAATTTATTTATAAGTTATTAGAATAGAAAAAAAACTTGAATTAGAACAGTAATGCAGTAATTAATACATCAGTTATAACAGCTAAAGTAGATTAATTTACAGGAAACACACGATATTGCACTAGTATGTAATTTAGTGATTTTTCTCATTTTCATTTAGAACGTAGCTCATTATATTATATTTACATTTGATCTGGAACATTATGAAACTTATGCAAATTATTCGTTGTAAAAATTGTACTCACCAAAATAATGGCCGATGTTGGCTATCTGTGAGCATGAATTTGTGAAGTGGGATGGTTGATGGGGAATATCTTGTACCTCATTGACCCTCAATTAGGTTAGTCGTATGTACGTGTAAAGGTTGTTTTGAAAGTATTTATTAGCGTGAATGTTTGATGTGAGAGGGTCGATGGCGGAATATCGAGTACCCCATCACCCTAATTAAACGAATGGTATGTACATAGTTGTGAATGTATTTAATAATGAACGTGACATTGGCACCTACCTCCTCAGTGCCCAACCTCGTTGCCTGGACATATAAGACTGATGTCTGCCCCCGGACTACCAACACTCGGGGTGGGTATTCTCCAGCCTACCGGCAGTTTACTGTAAATAGGAAAAGCTGGAATTGCAGGTGGACTTCAAGAAGCCAACAGGCTCAACTCGGCACGTGTTTGTATACTAGTGTACATGTGCGGATTTGAGCCTATACGAAACCAAATCCAAACTTAAACTACACTTCCTCCTTCGGACCATTGTAGCGCCACAGTATTGTAGTTGGTGTGTTGGTGTCCCTTCTGCTTCCTAGTAGAATATGGGCGTGCCATGTTGGATTATATCATTCTTCTTTCAATGCCCCTGTTTAGTCCTGTTAAGGATACTATTGGGATTCGAAGTTTTTCCCCGCTTTTAGTAATGTATTCAGTGTCTTCTTTCCTTCCAAAACGTGCTAGAAGGTTCTTGGAGTGTTTCTCTCCAATGAGACAATTATGTATGAAACCTTATGCCACAGAAGGCTTAGGACCGATCAGCGGTATAGCAGCCCCCTTCCTTGCTAAGGCGTCCGTTTCTTGTCTTGAAGCCCAGCAGACAGTAACTTTATTTTCCATACCTAATTCTAGTTTAGGTTTGCAATTCAGCAGCTTCAACTTATCGTTACCTAGTGTTTCCTTAAATCTCCACCATTGTATTCCCTGAAAAAGTGGTATCTTCCATAACTAATTCCAGTTTTAAAGGAGAACACTGGATATTCCAACAAGATTCAACTATAGGACACATGCGAAATCCACCCAGACCTGGTTAAGAATGAACCTTTCAGAATTTATCAGCTGGGTATGGCCTTTGTACTAAAATTGGTCAGGTTTGGACGGCCTGAAGAACAAACAACCAACAATGCAATCTTGGAAAAAGAATTGTATAAAAGCAGTAGAAATATTTCCACTAGAAATAGTGCTGCGTTGGTCGTGGGTCCAGTCTTAAATCCAGTGTTCCGGCTAAACGTGGTTAAAATTTTTCCAGTATTAAGTAACTATTTACATTAATCATTAATGCTTTAAACATCTTTATTACAAGACTTGTCTAATTTTTAATCCTGAACTGTTGTGACGGAATTGATAGCTAGACTAGTTTTAAAATAGCCGTCTTTTCGATTGACTTACCCCTTCCGGAAAGTCTCTAATCAAACGTCAGGATTATAATCTATTCAAACCTACAGAATCCGTCTGACGCAAGTTCGTGGCCTGCCATTAGGCAAAGTCTTCAAAAATATTTCATGTTTAAGTCCTATAATCGCAATAAGCCTGCAACCATGTGCAACTTTTTAAGTTGAAATTTATCAAAAGAAGAAGAAAAAGTACTTAAATATTACTAGTTAATTACATGTTAAATTTAAGGCAAGAATGAAGTAAAGAAAAACATATGTTTATAACAGTACAAAGAATCATTTACAGCAAATGTTTACCAAATTTATTATGTGCAATGGAATAGATGAAGAAAAAATAATACGCGTATATTGATGGCAGTGTTAATGTCGCGTTTGACGTTAGATTCAACATCGGCTCGGGCGGGACCACGATTCGCGGCATATAATCTATATCCATAACTGCACCTATAAAGTATTCATCGGAGAATATCCCTTCGTCTAAGACTTTGATGGCAGGTTCTTTCATTCGTGTCCTGTAATAAAGTCCGATTACGGTGTCGTTGCAGAAGATAGGAGCGCCATAGTCCGGAAAAATCTTCAAAGATCCCGGCTCTTGGTAACAATAGTCATTTGAAAAAGGCACGAACTTCCTTAAGCTGGACAACTTGTACTCTACAGCTCTGAGATCAATCTGTCCGAAGTATCTGTCATACGAGGTGGATTTTTCGTGTAAACCGTAGCCCAGGCTGAAACACGACGTCTGCTTTGTGATAATGCCTGAAATAAATTGCTGGATAATTGCAGGCCTGAGGGAGCTGATCTTCATCGGAATTATGGGATGTTCGGTCTCTTTTATCTCTATCATTGAGAATTCTTCGCTAACTTTCCCCCTTTTTTTAGCGGCGAGGTAGTTTATGTTCAAATGGACTTTTTGGACGAAACGCGTTCTGTTTATTCCTCGTCCTTCTTTCGGCCACAACCCACCGCCGAACACGACTTTCAATTCTTCCGCTTTCCTGTGCTGGTCTAAGCACGAAGACAGAGAGAGGACGCTGCGATCGTTGACGACCGATCCTGCGCAAATATGATAGCCGAAGTGTTCAATCATCGCGAAGAATGGGTACGAACCTTGTTCCGTTTTCGTACAGTTTAATTTTGAGAACACCAGCACGGCATATTGCAAAATTAGAATACAAGTCAGCTCGCGTTTAACGTTTAAAAAATACAACAAACTCAATTGATGCATCATTTTCCATTTGAATTCAGCAATACATTGAACAAGTATGACATTTCTGAAGATTTTTCAAAACAAATATCAACTCGGACATGAAGCATTTTTTCGCCAGCATTGAAACTTAACACATGTTACAAATTCGGTGATAATGACAGACGTTTTCCTTTTGTTCGGAGACAACCGTACAACTCTTTAAATTGTCTTCCATTAAGCACTGGGCTGAGTTATGTCGTGTTATTTATGACCGTCGACATGGCCTCATTCCATCCTTCGCCTTAATGGGACAGCCGGGGTGAGAAAAATGGCCATCATTCGGTCACCCCGGGGGGTTCGTATGACCCAAGACGGGATAATACAGGTGTTCCAGAGAGATCATCGGTCATTAGAAGGAAAAAAAAAGATTCGCGATTTTCGCAAGATACATCATTTCCGGAGCTATTGTTCGTCAAAAAAAAAAAAAAAAAAAAAAAATAGTACCTAACAAAAGGAGCCACCAGAATACAAATCTTTATGAATTGCACAGCTATTTTTATATCTAAATACAAACCATCGTGTAATATGAAATATATTTAAAAATTATTAGTTGCCTAATTTGAAGTGATTCTTCTTTCTATTATTAGTTTTTTTTATTATTTTTTTTCTTTTTGTTTAAACGAGGGTTCGCAACAGCAGAGGTTATATCAACCCCCGGGGTGCCGGTGTTTTTTTTTTTTTTTTGGGTGGGGGACAATTTGTAAGTATGTCGGATTCGAATGCAGGGCCGCTGGATTCGAACCCGGGACCTTTACCTTACGGTAATGAGCGCCGTGTGAACGCTTAAACCGTTGCGGCCACCGACGCCCCCTGTTTATTAAATATTGTAAATTAAACAGTCTATCAACATTGCTTTTCCACCTCCACCGCCATACCTCGTTAATTTTGAAGAAACGAAATAATTATTTTAATTAATCATTGAAAGAGCTGGTTATGTTGGGCATCCGAGCCGGAATACTGAAAAATACCGGTATGCGATAGCGAGTCATTCTGACATAAATATTTCAAACATAGGTATACATGGTGTCCTTTTTAGATAGATAATAGCTGAATTTCTCTACAACCAATGACGCTAAAAAAATACGTGTTTAATATTTTTTAATTTAGTTTCAAATTTTTACCTTTTTTGGAGAAAAATTTACAGCGTACCTCAGGTCAAGTTCATCTTCAAAATTCTAAATGCGACCCTATACACCCTGACACATAATTTTAAAGGATTTTTTACGCTGAAAACAATGCTGCAATCGGATTTTATATTGGTCAGAAAATGACAAAGTTATGGCAAAAGTTTGGAGAAAAAAAACAGTCATTTGGTTTGCTATTTATTAATCACATTATATTAACAGACAATGAGTGAGTGAAAGAGGGAGGGAGTGAGTGGGAGAGTGTGTGAGTGAATAAATGAGTTAACGAAAGAAATCGATAGTATGTGATAAAAAGGTAGATAATGGACATATTGATTAAATGAATGAGAGAATGTAATGCATAGGTCGATACATCAATAAAAAGAAAAGGCGAGAGTGAGAAAGAAAAAACGTGCAGATGTGTAAACGAGAAAAAAATCGGGAGGGAAGGAATATGTATAGATAATTAGAGATAAAGAGAAATATATAGATTTTTATAAAACAGACAATGAGAAAAGTATCTCATATATGAAGAGTATAGAGATATATGTTTGTATGTACATGGAAATTTCAATTTCTGCCTTGTCCATGGTCGTTAAAACAAACGGCTCGTACAAAGAGCGAATTAGGAGAAACAAAGGCACACCAGTTATTTATTTTCCTCCCGTGCCATTTCAGAGGGGTAATTTGTTAAAATAATTATTCTGTTCTGACAGGATTTAGACCGGACTTTAAACATCACTGAATACAGACTTGTCAGTAATGTAACATTGCGCTAACCTACACCGAGTGTAAGTAGAAGTGTAGGGCTTTATTAGACTAACAGAAGATTCAAGTTCGTGGGTTAAGCTCCAGAGCAGAATTAACCCTACGTGCTGTCCATTAACTCTCCTTAGTTATGAAAGGACTTAGCTTTTTCCCTAATTAAAATATCGCACCTGTTTCCTTCTGAGGATTATCATATAATTTTCTTACACTTGTATTATAACGAGGCATACGACAAGCATTCCATATTTTTAAGGTAAATCTCGTCGTCGATTGAAGGATGAGAGAAGCTACGTTGGAATATTGAAAAAAAAAATTTTTTTTAATTGTATATCTTTTATTAAGTCATACGAGAAAATAGTTGTTATGCAGTCTCAGTCTCTCCCTCTCCCTCTCCCTCTCCCTCTCACTCTCCCTCTCTCTCCCCCTCCCCCCTCTCTCTCACCCTTACTCTCATTCTCGTTCTCTTTATCTCTTCATCAATTTTCCTGCCCGGAGGTACATAGTATGTGATAGCTAAATGTATAACTTATAGCTGACTGGTATATTTTAAGAAAGCAAAGACAAAACAAAGATAGGGGCGTATAAGAAGGAAAACAAAGCAAGTGTTGAAATTCAATAGTCGACTTTTTGGATAATCTTGTTCATCCGGCCCGGAGGACCAAAATATATAGAAGTGTACAATAATCTCTTGAACGGCATACCATGCCGCATTCCCAATTATTGTATATACTTTTGTTCTTTTTTATTCTTTGATTAATTGTAATAAAGCATTATTATTCAATTAAAATTATATTTTAAAAAAATCACTTGTCTATTTTGAAATTATACGTGATAAGTATATATTCACAGTTAGCTGAGTTTATTAAGTTTGTATTTATGGTAAAGCTAATAACATTCAAAGTTACTCTCTCTTTCTTTCTCCCTCATCATTATCTTTTCTCTCTGTCTTTGTCTATCTACCTCACGCACTCTTTTCTTTCTCTCACTCATTCGACTGTACTTGAAATTAAAACTTCTCGCATTCAATCAACTAAACACCCATTTTCGTTCATGACCGGAAATGATACCTCAAGGATCTTATTCACCCGGCTTATTAGTTATTAATATTTCATTTCATCTATTACCGACTCACCAAATTTGATTAATAGTAAAGCCATTAATATACCGAGATGGCTTCCAGGTTATCTTCCTAAGGGACAGCACGTTTTGGGAAAGATTTGAATTACTAGAGCTGAGCATAAAATTAAACATATCGTGAGTACCTATATGGTTATACTCCTAACTATATGGTGATTTAATGTCTTTTTGTTTAGAGCAACATTTATTATTGAATTGTAATGAAAATTTCGAGTAAAAGGAGATATCTTTTGTTTCATAACAGCTTTTTGTTTTTGTTATGATGTAAGAAATTCTCCATAGCCGCTCAATATTTTAAAATAAAAAGGGAGGAAAATAAACCTGGCAATAAGCTCTGCTTAGCCCAACCCACCGGTCGAGAAGTAACACCGAAAAAATAAAATAGAAGGATGGACTCAGTCGTAAAACGCTATAACGCCAGGAGTCAGAAGGAAGATTATATCTGGATATAAGCCGACAGGGAAGCAGCCCATAAAAATTGTACATCTTCCGTTGCCGTCTACTTTGGCATGGCTTTTTTTATTGTAAAACTTTTAAAGCAGCTACCTTCCAAATTCGGACACATCCAGTTAACGCATTTTCCCCTCCTCGTAGAAGTTATCTCGAAAATTGAATCAACATCACCGAAACAATTTAGGTTTAACTCGTAACGCAATTTATTCGACGGTGACATTTTTCATCCGGCCTTCAAAAAACGCCATCCTCGTTGGAAATAGTAAATAATCAGTTGTAATATATATTATCATAGTTCCTTTGTAGATTGGAAGTAAGGAAGTGCTTTTTTTCAAAGTTTTTCAAGTAAATTTTTATAGATATTTATAGAGATGTGAAATTGACACTGATGATTTATCTAGTATTTCTTGGAATATCGCTTGAATTATTTAAGCTTTTAAATTTCAATGGCCATGTCATGGGTGTAAATGCAAATTGTTAACTCTAGTCTGGTAATCATAATTCGATGTTAGATAAGGAAAGTCCATTTGGAAAACCACGAGAAGCTATTAAATTTAATTTTTATAGCCGTACACGAAAAAAAGACCTGTTGAAAAAGAATCCGAAGGTTAATCACGTCGTTCTTCCGATGCAGCACTTTCCCGTATTCCGCCCAGGTCCCGCTTTTAATCAACATAAATTCCACGGCAGGCTTGTTGCCCGCTGGAAACAAGCTTTTATCACAGGTGATAGAACTAAATAAGCCAATAAAAATGAAATATCGAAAGCCCGATTTTATGTGGAGACGGAAATAACCACTGGGTAAAAATAGACATCAAGGAAGGTAACAAAAAGCCCTCACCAAGCGGGATTTGTCGGTGATAAGGATCTAGAACATCAGTTATACCTTGAATGCATATCGGACGATCGGTCATTTGTACAAAAAAAAAATCAAATCTGTGAAAGAATTGATGTTAATTACATAAAAACGTTCTCTCTATTGGTACTCGATATTCTTCAATCACCCTTTACGCAGATGGCACAGTCAATATTCCGGAATCGGCCTTCTCACACTATACATACATGCCAATAAATACATGCACACACAGTAGGTACTCAAAACTTTTAGTATTATGAACAAAACAACTCTGTTACCTCCAAAAATAGGAACAGAGGACGCAGATACACTACCGTGGTCAAGGACGATTCTCAGTCTGGTGGCTTTCCTACACGCTCTCTAAATGGAGCCAAACGAATTGGCTTTGGCCTAAAAGGGTCAGCCTCGCATGGCCTATCCTTAATCGGGTGAGTTTGGCCATTATGCTACAGGTCAGGTCCGTCGAAGGCCACCCATTGAATAACAATTATTAATGTTTTTCAGCGAAGGTTAACGTAGCCAAAAGAATATAAAAGTATATAAATATTATATAAAACTAATGATAACTGAGTTACACCGGTGTCACGTTAGAAGAACGGAAAATGGGACGATTATGGGAAAAAAATCGAAACATCCTCCAATTATGCGATTGTTTTACACAATTCAGTACAGTGGGAAAAAGATAGGGTTCAGGATATCCCCGTGCATTCTTTCATGAAAAGAACGCATTATTCTAGGAAGAAATAGTTACGTTAAATCAGATTTCTGTGAAACTCTACCAATAGCTTGTTGCTTTTGTGTTATAATGGAAATTAAGGAAATTGGAAAAGATAGGACTCAAGGTAACCCCATGAGATATACTGGCGTTGTTTGTAGGAAAATGTAAAGGAATGCAGGACACACCCATGCCTTCAGATATCCATTAACATTCACCCATTGTTTGATGCTTTCGTATATTAAATGTAAATTAGGGAAGTAAGACCTTAGGACAAGTCCTTGAGATACACCCTCGTAACGTCTAAAATAATGCAAGGCTATAAGAACATAAAATCAAAATTTCGCAAACTCCACCAGGTATATGATGATTTTATACAATAAGGTAAATTGTGAATGTTTTGAAAGATAGAATATAAACGTATGAACTAGAGAAAAAAACACCACTCAGGATAATTCATTTACATACAACG